TAAACTTTTTGGTAAATCTACTATTACATACGTTACTATGGTAACAAAGTATTCAAAAGTAAAAAGAAAATATTCATTGAATTTTATTTAGTCATACACGTAAAAATAAAACAAAAATAATTATAGGATGAAATGTGACCAAAACAGAAAAATAAAGAGTCTTGAAATATATACCAAGAACACAATATGATATTTCATTTTGGTTGGCAATGTTTGCCAAGATTTTTATACCACAGAACCTTCAAAGTGACACTCTGTATGTTTAAATCCGATTTTATCTTTTAAAAAAAGACATTTACACATTATTAATGATCAATTTTATAAGATGTTGGTGTGCTCTAAGTTTTCCCATTTGAAAAAAAATTCAGATTAGATTCTTTTAATAGAGCGTTGCTATCGAAATAAGCAGAAAATATATGTTTAAAAACCTGAAAAATATTTTCTTTCCTTGGTTACGTACCCTTAAATGTAGACTCCAAAAACTTTTATGATATTTATTAACAGCTAACTTAACTTGTAATTTTGAATATCATACAATTTCTAAATGGATGCAAGAAGTTAGCACACAGGGTTTAATATTGCTATAAAGTTTACAAAATCGAACATTTTCCCTTCTTGGTAACAATAGCAACAGTGTTGTTTCATCCATTAAATTTTATCAATATATGATATTCAACTTCAGTTCCAACAGATAATAACTATTCAAGCTGAGTCCTTTAATTTGTTTCTTGATTACATGGCAATTTAATTCTTAATGCAGCGAAAAATAATTCACTTTTAAGCAATGATACTTTGTTTTCATGGTAACAAAGTAGCATTTATACCCAGTTTTTCTTATGGTTTTGGTGTTGCAAGGTCCTAAGGATGCATATTTGCCAGTCTTGTATTTTCATGTTTTCCCTCAAGACAGTACCATTAACAAAATCTTAGTAACTGGTTTTGCATGGTTATACTGTGTTTCCATGACAACCATAACAGTTATTTATAGTATAATATTGCTTATACTTTTATACTTAAGGTCAAACATTTTCATCGTTTTTTCTTAAGTCGTTGATTCAGTCTGAGCAGGTAACACCTACCATTAGTGAATACGTAGTGTTTTTCAGCATATTAATATGCATTTTAAATGTATTCCAAATGTACCCTTGGTTAACACTTAGAGATATTTTCTAAACAGCGCAGCACAGTTAAGGTTACAAATGGAAATATCTGCGATTTTTTAAAGATAAAAAATACATACTTAATTAAGATGGGCGATTCTTTTTAGGGATTCACTGATATCAAAATAATGTAATGTGGTTTAAATCTACATGTTGGGGACATTTAGATTTTTATTTAGACTTGTCATGTGATGTCGACTTTGGCAATTATACTTGCAGTTTAGAGGTCAACTATAAATTTCAATATTGCAAGGGCTTAACCAAGTTAAAAATCTTAGTTTATTTTATAATCCTTTTCAACACTATATGTAGTTTGTGAAAAGTGCTGCGAACACACACACACACACACACATAAATATATATATATATATATATATATATATATATATATATATATATATATATATATATATATATATATATATATATATATATATATATATATATATATATATATATATATATATATATATATATATATATATATATATATATATATATATAGATTCCCTTTTTAAATTGGTAAAATTTAATTTGTTGGACGGCAGGTTGAATATTTTGCTGGTCAACTACATTAAATATAGCTATGATTAATTTATTTGCCAGATTTCAAGAGGTTCGCAGCACATTTAAAATATCTTAATGCTTCTTGAGTTTATGTGTAAAATTTTGACAAGATACGTTGAGGGTATGCCCTTGCAATAAATCGATCTATTAGGGCCCTTCCGTTAATTTTTCAATGAATCTGCATGCAAACACACGATAGTATCGCTTGTCTGGAGAATGCACGTACAGTTTATAAATAAAATACTAAAATAAACATCGCATCCAAGTTAACGGTTTTTTTTTTGAATGCAAATAATATTCTATTTGAGAACAAAAGACATTTTTCATCGTACAAAATGTGACTTGATCAGCCTCTCACTGTTTACAAACTGCGTCATTTTTGCGAGATGACGTCACATTGACAAGTGCATTGCGATCGATGCATCGCTTATTCCTACGTCGACACGATATATCCTGGTGAGCTTGAGATAAAAGATACCACAGAGTCCGACACTTCTGCTTCATACTTGGATATTTTACTTGAAAAAGACACTAATGGTAATCTAACAACCAAGCTATATGATAAACGTGATGACTTTAACTTTTCTATCGTCAACTTCCCTTACTTATGCAGCAATATACCTTCATCACCTGCATACGGAGTATATATATCTCAGTTGATTCGATACGCAAGAGCATGCTCTACGTATGAACAATTTCTTAAACGAGGTAAATTATTGACAAGCAAGTTGATGAAACAAGAATATCAACAGTCTCGTTTAAAGTCATCATTTCGTAAATTCTATGGTCGATACAATGACCTTGTCAGCAAATACAATTTATCATTGAATGAAATGCTGACTGACGTTTTTCATACCAATTGTTAGTCCATTATTTATACACTGAATTGACGACAGATTTTTTCCGTTATTTCCTGATTATGACAACGAGCACATGGCGGGTGTGACCGGTCGGTAGGGGATGCTCACTCCTCCATGGCACCAGATCCCACCTCTGATGTTTCAGAGGTCCGTGTTTGCTCTGCTATTATATTGTATATTGTTTAGTGGACGTTGAGATTGAATACTGTTCGTTATTTCTATATCCTTCTTATATACTATTGTGTGGGATTTAACAAACGACAAAAGTGCATGTAATAGTAAGTTTGTATGTAGTATACACTTATCCAGCTGTTTGAAATAGCAGATAATTTCATTTTGTGGTATTTTGAAGACCTTATATTTTGTGTGACGTCATAGTAAACATTTCCCGTACAAATTAGGCCCCGCCTCCTGACTGTAACCTTAAATGTGCTTCGAGTTTCTTTACAGTATAAGTGACATGACGATGTCATGTTTTTGATTGATTGATTGATTGTATATTGTTTTACGTCCCTCTCGAGGATTTTTCACTCATATGGAGACGTCACTGTATGCCGGTGAAGGGCTTCAAATTTTGACCTGTACTCGGCACTCAGGGACATTGATCAGTGAGGGATCTTTATCGTGCCAACGCCTGCCGCTGATACGGAGCCTCGGTTTTTAAGGTTTCATTCGAAGGACCCGCAACTTTCACTTCAAAGTACCGAGCGCATGGCGAAGGAACAGTTGCTACCCATTTAAACGACTAGGTCAGTCACGGCCGAGATACGAACTCACAACCTCCCGATCACGGAGCGAGCGCTCTACCGACTGAGCTACCGTGAACGCTTCATGTTTTTGAGAGAATGGTTTGTTTGCTTTTTCTAGTTTTTATTAAGCCACAGTCAAGATTTAAAGTGGCTGAAAATCTCGATTCCTCAAACATTTCCGGCTGTTGCCATGGCAACCGAGACACATAGCAACCATATTTTTTTTATATTTGTTTCTGGTGTCAAGTACTAAGCATGGGTAAAGTTTCATAAAATTTAAGTGTTTACAGAGATTGGCTATTAAAGAGGGAGGGGTGAACGCACTATGATTTAAATTTTCTCCGTTGAAGAAAATACATATACTAATTCGTATATTCCAATCTAACATAAATGAAATATATATATGCAAGTTTAGATTTAATTTTCTATTTTTGTATAAATAAAACTCTTAGATCTGTCTTTGAAATATGTGCTGGCAAAGTAGGCATTATGAATATTGCTAGCAATGTTACATTCATTAATACATTTACCACTAGTCCTATTTTGGTTGAAGCGAAGAAAGAAAAATTGCAATATTATAACCGAAATTTACTGTCGTAATGTCGATATGCAAAAATATATATAAAATTAAAATTATATAATTGTAAATATATGAATCTTTTCGGGAAAGAAGTGAAAAAATATTTGTGAGGAAAAACAAAATGACAAAAATTAGCAATATCACATATTCTAATTTTTACATTTAGATTTTCCTAATAAAATTCACCTGGATTGGTATATTTTTTTTAAGTTTATATTACTCTTTTAGCACCATGTTAACATATTCTGAAAGTTTTCACCTGTAAAGTTTTACTGAATGTGATTTGTCTATATTTGTTTTTTTTAACGAAATATTACTAATATTTTCCACGTCTACTTCATTTTCCAGCTCTTAGGAGAAAAAAACTCTAAGAACCATCCACTTTTCTAAACTTATGACATAATATTAAATCTATTTGAACGAATTTTTTTTGTATCATCTGTCCTTAACTTTGTGACTAAACTTATACAAACTTGGTGCCAAATAGCACAAATTACTTTATATTATTCCAAGTACTAAATAGATAAATCCGATGTGCTGATGGTTAAATATCATATTCTTTCATGATGAAATGCAAATTTCGTCTTCGGGGGGGGGGGGGGGGTCATTGTGGGTTTTCCATTCTCTTTAGCATTGTATACAAGCACGTTTCAGTAGGATTACCTTGTGAAATATTTATTATAAACACTGAGCATTAAATCATTACATTAGTCATATTAAAGTGTTTGATTTATCAGACAAAGTGTTTTTTTCTGTGCTTTTTATTTTTTATTTTTCTGTGTCGCCTTTTGATTTCTTTTAAGTGTTACCTGTAGTCGTCCAAAGAATCTTTATGACACCTTATGCAACGAATTAGACAGAGTGCAATTTTGGATTGTGTTCTTGTTGATAATCTTTAGAAATACAATATACTCAAGAATGAACCGTTCTTGAACAGACTGTTTTAGATAAAATAATATTTACATGTATTTAAAGCAATACAACAAGAATCATTAGCTCTGAAGAGCCATTTCCAGACTACATATTTATTACAAAAAAAACAATTATACAAAATAAATATGAAACAGTAATTAAATTTTTCTGTACGGCCAGGTGTGTTATAGGACCCACGATATCCAAAAATATGAATTCAGTGCTTAATAAATTCTTGCAAATAAGATGGTCTTTGCTTGTTTAAAATCTTTAAAAAAAACTCTATAATCATTGATCTGATACGCCTGTTTTCGATATTAAGTTTGATTATTCTGTGTAGATTAATTTTGTTCGTATATTTTATATCATAACAGTATATCTTGATGAATCTTAATCATATCAAAAATCCACTAAATGTAACATACGGAGATTCACTGGACACATCATAATGATTGCCGCTATAGGAAGGTCTTGTTACATAAACCCTGTCTCCGGTCGTTAGCTGTAAAACAACAACATTTGTTCCGGTTTGATAGTACATGTAAGAAGATTTATAATAGGATAATGCTCTTACTTTCCTCACACCGTTTAACATAATGTCCAAAAGAAGCGTTTCGGTACTTGACGAGACTGCAGCAACATGAAATACAAATAGTCCATTGACAGGGGAGGTAAAAACACCAGAAGATGTGTCATATCCTCCCCCAACTGAATAAATTAGCGTATTAAACCTCAGAATATAACGCGACCAGGAGTTTCCAGTTGTTGCTCCAGCTGTAAATGCCACTTTTCTGTTAATCTCTGCAAATTAATGTATAGCATTATGATTATATTATTAGGATGATGATGATTACGATGACGATGAAGATTATCATTATTACGTAACGTATGACTAAAACTTCACAATATATAGTTGCAACTAATCAAATTAATATATTTGCTTCAGTTATCTAAAGCAATGTATTAATCGATGTAAAGTTACAGACAAAGGAATGGTTGCCGATCTGTGTCCCTACTTTGAGGGATCACTCCTTTAATTTTTATATTAAACGAAATTGTTTGTGTTTTTGAAGATTTTTAATTCGTTCAAGAAAGATTCAGAAATTTTCGTTTTGAGCTTATATAATATAAATATTTAGCCGACAGTTCTTCATATCATTGAAAGGACCGTATTGCAAAACTTAAAAAGGAGGACACATGATTCTCCATTATTCTTAAGTTTACTGTATTACAGAGTTTAAACGAAGCGCTAAAAGAGCAAGAGCCATCTTATGCATAGAATGGCCCTGTACTTATATCAATTAATTAACTATCACCCTCTTTCCCATTTCATAAATCAAAATAAAGTAGACACTTGGTGCTTTCATTTTCTATGATAAAATTTCGTTTTAAGAATCCAGATATTGGAAAACATGTTTGAGAAATTGCAATGTCCGTGAAATTTGCAGAAAACATACGTATTCGACTACCTTCAGCAAAGAATTGAAATATGAGCACAGGCCACGATCCAAAAAATAAAACATGTTTTTTTGATACTCAGAAACATAGCATTCGTTATGTATTTGCATAATTTGGATCGGATGTTGTGCTTTATGTGAAATATTGAAAAAATTCTTCAACTTTAGGTCATTTTCAAAGGAATTTACAGGATATGAAAAATGTCGCATTTTATGACGTCATAACGCATTGACTACATGGGGAATTACGTCACGATTAATAGATACGTGGTCACCAACACTCCAAGTGATAAATACTGCATTTGCGACCTTAACTGATCGGTTTTGATTTTTCAGAAACTCTCAGGGCCAAATAAGGCCCAAAGTGGCTCTTGCTCTTTCGCGGTATTTTCGCGATTAAAATTCTCAACTGAACTCCTATTCATTATAGTTACAAAGGAATACATGCACAGACTTTTTTTTAAATTGCTAATTCATTAGACAAAGGGTATGGTTGTACACACATGTATTGAAAAAAGTAAAAACAATTGTTCTGAAAACCAGAGGAAATTCTGGTCAATGCAGTCGAACTACTTAACATTTTTTAAATTAAATTTGCCGTGATCATTTGTCTTTTTTTATCAATTAAACGAATTACAAAAAAGAAACTTAAATCACTTTTAAGAGTTCCTTGAACATGTTGAAAATTTTCAGCAAATCATTGACTTCGGTACGATGTTATCTTGGACTTACGGTGCTAACATAATTCTTGAGCCGTGGCTCTATAGAAGACATGTTTAATTTCTTCTAAATAATTCAATCTATTTTAATGCAACTAAATAACCAATTAACCGTTACATGAAAGTGTGTAAACAAATTATTTGTCCTTGTTCCTTCATGCGTAAAGTCCAGCGGGGGTCTAGGAGAAAATTTATTATGCAAGAGGAAGCCCTATTAATTAAGTGCTCTACCATTTAGAATTTAAATACGGTAGAATTGTTTGATTAAAATTTCATTTAGAGAGAATTTTTATGTTTAGATTTTTTAATTATCAAAGATATTACTGTTTCGGCAAAATTTGTACCGTGTCTCACACATAAAATTTGAATAGTTACTGTGTCGGAGAAAATTTTACTGTGTTGGGAGCAACACAGTAAAGCAGCTCATGGAGAACCCTGCGTTTAATATACTATAGCATTGGAAATGCAATATCCTAGCTTATTATGAAATTCCATATATTTGGTGTAGCATAGAAATACTCTGTCTATAGCATATCACTGATTTCAAATGTAGAATAAATAAGGTATTATTCTTTTATTACTTAAGAAATGAATGTAATATTTTTTCTTTGATCGACGAAAAACTTCATCAATTCGCGTATGAAAAAGTTTTCCGTCCAAATTTTTTCTTTGATACATCGATCAAAGGGAAAAAAATATTACATTCATTTTTTATCATTTTATTATGAATTTAAATTAATAAAATGAAGTTTTCTTTTACTTTCCATTAAATTTACGCATCCAAGACAGTGCTCACGAATACATTGATCTGAAATTCAAAATGGCTCAAACGAAAAAACGTTCTCAAATATTGTGTCATTACCAACATACTCTGAAATAATTTACAGTTCTTAAACATAAAAAAACTTACGTGTCATGTAACTCCAATGGGTATTATTAGTTACATCGTCTTTTAGTGACAGGGTATGGGATGATACCTGGTTAGTAAATTTCATACCTGGCGAGGCGGAGCCGAGTCAGATATGAAATTTACTAACCAGGTATCATCCCATACCCTGTCACTAAAAGACTGTGTAACGAATTTACCCCACCGATGAAACATTTACGTTTTGTCTGTAGTTTATAAATGGTTTTCTTTCCTAAATGCTTCATCACGCTTATACTATGCCTATTTTGACGTCACGTTTGTGTTTGTGACGTAATACATCGACCGGGTATAGATTCACAACTGACCGGGTATAGATTTACAACTAACCGGGTATAAGTAATCCACCGTCTTCACGTGACAGACTTCAACCAATCGTAAGCCAGTATTTCACGGAAAAATCGACAGAGGTGGGGAAAAATATTTTGTCCGGTAAGTTATCTAAGTTCGTAAATGTAAAGGGAAGCTACTCATATATCCTAACAGTTCTAATTAAGTTAGGTCACAGAAATTTTGGATTAATTCATTTGCAAGTCTTTTCATCTGAATTTCAAACCGAACAAATAAATATGTATCACATACTGTCATTGCTGTAAAACCTAAAAGATTCTGCAGCCGACTGTTAAAAGATTAAAATAATTCCTTCCTCATTTCGTTCCCCAAGATTCACATTAGGCCCTAACGGTTTTCCCCGCTTTGATAGCATAACGAACATTTCTTCAGAATTCCATTGTTCATACCAGATATCTCAAAACCAAACATTTAACAAAAGTATGTCGATTTTTTTCCTTCTTTCCAAAACTGTATTGTTGTTATGCAGACGATTTGATTTAATAAGCAAAGGGGAATAATTCAAAAATGAAACAAGTAGAAATTAAGTCAGGAACATAACGGACAGGTTTCAAAATTCAGGGAAATTAAAGTAAAAGTATTTAATTTTTCCTTCAAAAATTAACCTGGAAGCGGGAAATTATACATGAAAAGACTGCCAAAGTAGTTCCGGCTGCTTAGTGCAAGCGAACTCTAGATTTTATTGATGCAGTGGTATTTTATAGAAATTAAATGATTTAATATTACATCTGCGTTCATTTACAAAACCAAATAAAACATTTCAATACCTTGAACATTCGATTCCAACTTATTGATTGAATTTGTGAATTTGTGTGAGACAAGGTTGCCCTGGCGAATGTCTGATACCATTTGCTTTATCGTGTTGTTTGCGTATTTATTTTCATCTAAAAAAAGAAAAAAAAACATATTTAATTTCTTATGATCTCTATTTTTTTAATCTCTAATAAAACAATAGGTACTGTGAGCGATGAGCTCACTAAATGATACCCCCGAATCCATATAGTTATAATGGCAAAGTTCATGTTATGCTGTGGCCGTGAAACCAAAAATACGTGTCGGATCAAAAAGTAAAATAGGAGGTGCACAAAAGCAATATGTAATAAAGATTCTGTGAAAGTTTCATCAAATTTCATTCAGTGGTATTAGAGGAGTTGCGGATAAGAGATGGGTACCCCGAAGCATAAACAGACAGACGGACGGAATTAACGATTACTATATACCCTACCGCTTTTCAAGCGGGGGGTATAAAAAAACAAAAACGTAAGAAAAGCACAATGAAAAAAAAACAAAACAAAAAAAAAAAAAAACCACAATTCCCATAAACATACATGTTACTAACCTAATACTTGTTGAATTTGCAGAGAAGTACTGTTTATATGCCATTCCAAAGTCGAATTAAGTTTTTCTGATTTGGAGCTTGCTTCCATTAAGAATAAATGAATGTTTCGAAGTTCATCTTTCAAAGTTGACACATTTTGTTCTGTATTCAGTGTTCTGTTTCTATATCTTTCACCGTTAACAGCCAAGGTTCGCGTCAGTATCACGGTGTTGCTAACGTCACTTTCAATTTTTTTCAGTCTCTCTTCCAGAATATTTGAAGTCTGATTATTGCCCCTCGTATTGTTACACACGTCTTCAAGTACTATTAATTTCTGAGATAGTTCTGCATTCTGTTTTTCAGTTAATAATAGTCTTTTTTCAGTGGCTCTTAGTGTTTGTTTTAAATTTACCATTTCAGTGTCAGTATCAGAGCGATTCTTTTCCAGATCTGTAACTTTTTCTGCCAGAAGTTGCATTGCTTTCTCCAAGTAAGATATCTGCTTGTCAAGAAGATGATGTATCGTAGCCGAATCTGTGGAGACTAAACTGTTTTCGGTCTGTGTGCTATTAACATGGTTGTGAAACAAAAGAGAGGAAACGTACTCCAAATTTGTATAGCACATAAAATATAAAACCAAAGTATACCGTATAGAAAGATATTTTGCCATCTTCTGAAAGCTTTTTCTTTCAAAGAAATCTGTTTAATCTCTGAATGTACACTATTGTAATGTAACTACTCATGTGATTTTTTTTATCAATAGTTAATAGGCCGTACAAAGTACAAAAGCTTATGACATTTTATATCAGCTGAACAAATCGTGTCATCTCTGTTTTATTTAGGTCACTGATAAACTGACCTTGTATTTTGTTACACGTAGACGACATAGACTAAAGTAATTTAAAAAAAAAGAACGATCTTTATCAAATACTTTATAAAAATTGGGGTCAATCAATAATGAATGAAATTCATAATCATAATTACATTGTATTTCTCTCTTCCCTATGTGGCGTGGATACCAGTCCATCAGATGACACCGTATAAACCGAGGCCCTCTTGTCGAAGTAGGAACTTGACAAAAAAGATCCCCCCCCCCCTGCTCATTTTTTCCGAGTATAGGACAAAATCCATTGCTCTCCACCGGTAAAGGGTGGAGTCTCCATATGATTGAACGTTAAAGAACACTCAGTCAATCAAACATTCAAACAATATCTCATTATTTACTCCAATTTAGCACACCTTTAAATCCATTTTTATTGCTCCACGGTGAGTGGATAAAACATATCGCCAAAACGAACAATATTTAAGGAAAAAATAGAAATATACATCAGAGCTAAAATATTTCTGAAAGCCATGGTCAAAAAGGGACGGACAATCCCCTTCTTACGTATCACATCAACCATGTGCTCCATGTCATCATAGGAAAACTCAAAAAGGGCAATGAATATATAATGGATTAAACGTCAAATAAAAACGTAAGTCAGTCTTTTTACTTAACAAGTAAAGTTTTTGACTGGCCTAGCCTGGTCCACTTCCTCATCCATGTCAGTGACGCGGAGTTTAAGAAGCAAAACAGGGACGGACAGGGAACCAGGCTGTGACTGGCCGAAAGCTTTCGGCAAACCCCGGCTGATTCCGTTACCTTCTTCAAACAAGAAAGGGGATTAATTGATTGATTGATTTATTGATTGATTGTATATTATTTAACGTCCCTCTCGAGAATTTTTCACTCCTATGGAGAAGCCACCACTTGCCGGTAGAGAGCTGCAAATTTTGTCCCATGATCGGCACTCAGGGCCATTGAGCAGAGAGAGATCTTCTTCGTGCCAACACCTACTGCGACACGGGACGTCGGTTTATACAGTCTCATCCGAAGGACCGGTCTCCACGTCCCACAGTGGGATTCGAGCACGCGACGTAAGGATTGACTCCTTACTTCGCGACTCTAGAGAAGACTCTCCAACCACTGCGCCACGCGGGCAACAAGAAAGGGGAAAAGAATAATAACAAATTTTAAAGCCTGCAAGCAATTAAAATGAAATTTCATTTACAATGAATTTGAAACCCTTTTAAGTTATTGCAATAAAACATATCATGTTATAAGAATTAATTAGTGTTGATTTTCTTGTTCGTTTTGTTATTTTTTTACGATTGAAAATCTTGCATACTTGTTAAGTTGTACAAAAATTCGATCATCAGAAAGTTATCTCCCTTGCATTGAACAGCATTTCAAGCAATGAAATTATTGAAAATTTTCTCATCATGCAATTTTTTACCAAACACAAAAGAGAGGAAGTGCAAACACCAGAGACTGTAAAAATAAAATCAACTATATTACACCGCCTTCTAAGGAAGACGGTAATCATTGATTCATTTATTGAAGATAGAGAAAACGGTAAACTGATGTTTCTAAACGTGATTTTAGGTACTCTAGCAGTTTCATCAACGCTTATAAACTCTTTTTTTCATTTTAAACTGTTTTGCATTAGCTAAAATATGGGCCTTCTTAAACATAGTAGGTTGTTAATTGCTGATAAGATTAATGTATCGACGTGTTGCTTGAGAAAGTTGAAATCCTTGTTTCATATTAAACTTGTCTGTCAGTAGTTCGCTTTGCTTCCGATATTGATTGTACGTATGCTTGCATATATCGTATATATTGAGATATAAAAATACCATATGCTTGGAAAAGGGGTGTATTGTTACATAGCTGTAAAAAAGAGACGTTGAGGATAAAAATATTTAAATCATACAGTTTTGATTTTTAATTTCCATTTACGACTCTTCAAGTAATATATTCTTTTATTATACATCTACTGTAATTACTCTATATAAAATTAATACCATAACAACTGTCTATTTTCCCGAGAAGAAACTACTGTCCTCATCTGAAGACTACTCCCTGGAAAATCAGAGCTACTCCCTGGGACTACTCCCTCATGAATATTTATTAGTAATTTTAACCAATCAAAGTGTTCAGTGGGCGAAGCGTTCAAGGAATCTCGAGTCTGTGACGTCATGTTATTAGCAATGTAACTATGACGTCAAAAGCCCCGTGGGGATCCGGGTTAGAATAGGTCCTCAGTACCCCCTTTCTTGTCGTAAAAGGCGACTAAATGGGGCGGTCCTTCGGATAAGACCGTATAAACCGAGGCCCCGTGTCACAGCTGGTGTGGCACGATAAAGATCCCTCTCTGCTCAAATGCCCTGAATGCCGAGCATAGGCCTAAATTTGCAGCCCTTCACCGGCAATGGTGACGTCTCCATATCAGTGAAATATTCTGGAGAGGGACGTTAAACAGTATTCAATCAATCAAGCAATCATGACGTCAAAACATTTCGACATGCGATATCAAAATCATACTTGAATTCTAGCAAAATGAAGATAACAATAATTCTTCGATATGTCGCTGAAAATACTTTTTTAAAAATGATTTAATTGTATTAGGAGACAATGTATTACTTATCATACAGTGTGTTAAACCGCATGTATTTGTAATTATGCCTCGTACATTGCTTTTTTTAAATGTCGGAACATCTGCATACGGAGTATATATATCTCAGTTTACTGAGTATTCGATACGCAAGAGCATGCTCTACGTATGAACAATTTCTTAAACGAGGTAAATTATTGACAAGCAAGTTGATGAAACAATAATATCAGCAGTCTCGTTTAAAGTCATCATTTCGTTCTATTGTCGATACAATGACATTGTCAGCAAATACAATTTATCATTGAGTCAAATGCTGACTGAGGTTTTTCATACCAATTGTTAGTCCATTATTTATACACTGGATTGACGACGGATTTTTTCCGCTATTACCTGATCATGAAAACGAGCACACGGCGGGTGTGACCGGTCGGCAGGGGATGCTCACTCCTCTTTGGCACCTAATCCAACCTCTGTTGTTTCATAGGTTCTCGTTTGCTCTGCTATATTTTTTTATTTTTTATATATTTAAGGACTTTGAAATTGAATACTGTTCGTTATCTCAATATCTTACTGGTAAAAAAAAAATAAATTGGCTTTGATTGTTTTGGTATAATAAAACAGTTATGGAATGGGAACTCGGGAAATAGCAAATTTATTGTTCCCCTCGGCAGAAAACTATTTCCCTCGGGGAACCATAAAGAACAAAATTCACTTCTTATTATATTTGGCCCTGAGAATTTCCAAAAATTTAAATTTCAACTGAATCAAAATTTTATAGTGGAAATAAATGTTGGATATATGCTTGCTTAAAATATGCACCAAAATTTTTAGAATGTGTACCGGTTTAACTATTTTATGGCGGTCAAAACATGCATGGAATGCGTATTTCCGGAAAAATCGTTAAAAATCAACTACTTAAAAGCATTTTTCAGTAGGTCCGCATCATAACACCACTTTGAAATTTTCTCAGATGAAATATTGATTTAAAAGCATTCTTTATGCCAAAAATTACGATGGTGTTATTTTGCGGACTATGTTTATTTTTTTAAAATGTGTTAATTTTTAAACCACCAAAACACATGAATAAGACAGAATGGTGCTATAAGACGTAACATTACTCGCCAGTTATCGCCGAAAAATCGTAATTTTATAGGATAAATTCTTCACATCAGTATTATGAATATCAAGTCAATGTTATTTTATACATTCAGTAGCAATGCCTTTGTCTATAAAGTCTTATCGATAAAACAATTTAGAAATACAAGAACAGACTGTACGTCATTTTTAAAAATAATGACGTCACAATGGGGGTGTAACATTTTTGATATTAATATAGATCTATAGGCCTTTGTGCAATTTAATCTGAAGCGTAAGAAATATATACTTACATTGTATCGTAATAACAAAAGGGCAGAGGATAGAAAATTAACTTTTTCTCACGTTTAGAATGGCCTTATTCGGTATAATAAAAATACACATATTATACCGAATAGGGCCATTCTTTAAACGTGAGAAAAAGTACAATCTGTTTGCATATAACGACATATAGATGTGTTTGACGGGGAAATTTTATATTTTCGAGGTATTATACACTCTTACATTTTTTTTAATTAAAAAAAGGGGGGGGGGGGTATTATCCATACTTCAGGTGCCTGTGGCTAGAGCATTATGCTCTATAGAGTTGCGAAGTAAGGAATTCATCTTTACGTCGCGGATTCGAATCCTACTGTGAGACGCGGGGACAGGTTCTTTGGATGAGACTGTATAAACCGAGTACCCGCGTCGTAGTAGGCACGAAAAAAAATTACTTCACTACTCAATGACCCTGGATAAGTGCCGAGCACAGGGCAAAATTTCCAGCTCTCCATCGGCAAGTAGTGGCGCCTCCATATGAGTGAAATATTCTCCAGAGGCCTGAACATTAAACTACAAGTTTACAATCGATCGATCGTCTCTATATGTACTTGTGATGAGATATCTGTGTAAAGGTGAAAAGTTTCGAAAAGAGCTCATATATGTTCTTAACTTGTATTATATTCTCAGTTTACGTATACATGTATATATTTTCATGTCGAAAAAATCTTAATTAATTCATCCTACCCTCTACCTACGAAATGAATGGTTAAGTTTTACTTGATGTTCCATTTTAAACACAAACATAATTATCCTCTTCCAAACTTAACTTTTTACTTCTCTCTCTCTCAACTTTTTGTGATGTAAAAAATTATACGCTTGATTAATTATCAATGAACTAAACAAATGCTGAG